AATTGTTTTTCTGTTGCACACAAGTTCTTTGTACACTGGTTACACTTTAGTTTTGTTACTAATTTACTGACTACAAATCCCGATATATATCCTACTATTTGCAGCATAGCACAAGATGTTGGACTCTCGTCCAACGTAGAAGAAAGTTTATTGCAATTTGTTCGATATTTTGAAAATTTTGTTGTACGTATCTATTATTTAAAGTCTCTGTTACACTTAAGTTTCTCTCTTCACTTACGTCAAGACGATATCCTATCGAGGTGTTATTAATCTTATCGAGAGATTGAGCTCCAGATAGGATTGGTATATTCTCAAATGGAAGACAATTGCCAGTAAATTTTGAACTCAGTTCCAAATGCGACGAAAGTTTTTTAAAGCTTGCTTTGAATTGCCGACTATTCAGATTATTATTATGTCCGCCTTGACTTCTAATAGCTCCAAAAAACAGCTCAATATGGTCCTGACTGAATTTGTAGGCCAATCAAAATTAGAGGATGTCAGTTTCAACTAAAGTATTATACAAGTATGTCAAACTACTGATGCAGGTCAGTAGTCCCAGCAAACCAGTATTATTTTGCGTCTTATATAACGGTACTAATTTATTCGAGAACACTGTTCTAGATTCATTGCTTACTTTTATAGGTTTTTGTATTGAATTTTAATGGACAACGACAGTAAATATTCTTTTGTTTATGACAAAAACGACAATATTTGCTCAGAATTTCTTTTACTAATAGGCTTTTTAAAACCAAAATCTTTCAAATTTCGTATGTTTAAGATATCAAATAGATTATTTAAAATAGTTATGAATTCCACAGTACTATCAGTCTTGAAATTCAGCAATTTTCAAAGTTTTGTCACAGAATTCTAATGCTTTTGAAACACTCTTGCTCAGTAACTGAGTAGCTAATCTGACGTTCATTATTTGATTTTTAAAATATATGTGCCTATGAGATAATTTATTTGCTAAATGTAAACTGTTTTCCTCTTGCAAATTGTATAATTTAGTAATGAATTGCCATTTAATCTGTTTTTGATCAGTTGTGTACAATTTTTTTTTTTTTGATTCCAAAGTATTTCTCATTAACTTTACCATACTTATGACAAGCATCCAGAAATACATCAATATTATAATCTGCACACGGATGTCTAAAGTTTGTTTTGATATCTTCTACACTATCTATCTCACACCCTAACATTTTCATGGTTGCAATGTTACGAGTACTTTTACAACCGTCAAATGTTACAGAACGAATCTGAACCCCTAATTTTTCACGTTTTGCTAGTGCTATTTTGATCAAATTGGCTTTTATGTCTGCCTTTAAAGTGTCAATCAAAAAGTAAGCCAGTGGTAATTTCCAACTATCATTAATTGCAACCAACATAAAGACATATGCCTGAGTAGCCATTTGGTTGTAATCGTCGCTTCCCAAACCCATGTCTACCAGACCGTCATAACGCTTACCTGTCCATATTTTTTGTCTTCTTATTGCCATCTCATCAGCAACAAGAGCGCATAATATTTTTTTCTTACTTTCTTTTGCCTTTGCTGCTAACCTGTTCAAAGCTTCGGCACAAAATCCTGGTTCTGCATCGACATTCCGATACCAATCGTACAACGTATGAGAGTGTGGTAGGCATGTGTTGAACATTTTACGCACTTACTTATAAGCAGCAGGGGAGTAAAAATGGGGCGTTAGGGCAAATTTTCTGGCACCAGGTGGATATTTTGAAAATGGTATTTTACGCTGTTTTTTGTTCTTTAAGTACATTCCATTAAACACTTCATTCAATTTCAACATTTCTTGATAAGTCTATCAAGATGGTCTCGTCGAAATTATTTTTCAACAAATTTACTATATTTTTTAATAAGTTATTTATTTTTCACGAGTCTTGTTCACTTTTTGCAATAATTGAATTTTTTGGATTTTTATCTATGATTTTGCGAGCAGTGAGTAAATGTCTATTTAGACACCTCTTTCTAGGTGTTTCGTGAACGGATATTAAATCTGACAATGATGCTACGGGCGAGGTTGTAACAGAAATATCCTCTGCTTGATCTTGATTATCCAGATGCAAGCCAGACTTCGAACATTGAGGCTGAAACAAATGCTATTTATATATGATGTCCTCAATTAATTATCTGCAAAAGCTCGAATATAGGTTACTGAAATTAACTACAAATCTCAACTCAAAACTAGTCTATTTTTTTTACTGAAATGATTTTGCGCAAATTAAAATGAAATTCTGAAAATATGCATAATTTCAATAAAATTTAATGTAGGAGATATCCACACATTTCATTGAACAGTTGACGATACCTAATGCAAATCAAAAATGGCTCACCTGCACTTCAATATCATATAATGCGAGTGGGTGCTGCTAATTGAGGATTCTTCGACGGGGGTTGAATCTGTTTTTTTTTTTGTTTGAAAAGGCTCTTTATTAATAAATTAACATTAACTCCAACAACACAATGTTTTATCGTGTCATAAATGGTACATTTAAGCAGAAAACAAAAAACAAGAAAAAATACATTTCGTTTGTGTATTAGTAATAAATGTACCAGTAATTTAGGAACTGCTGTTTTAACCAATCGACATCGATTAGTATTTTCAGATATATCCGATTTATCAAAGTGATTCGAACATATAACTGAATTCTTAGCTGGCTTATAAAAGTCATCTCTTCTTTCTCTGGCAACAATCGAGATCCATTCTGCACACATAAACGGATTGCTAGGAAAGCTAAAATAAAAATAATAAAGCTAAGTATCTAATGAAATAACACAAACAGAGACAAATTAACAATTACCATTATGTAAAGTTCTGGTAACAAATTACTAAAAATGATTACAATACAAATCTACTCCATGTACTCTACTGTTCTGTTTTACAAATGTTTACGCGTGTATTGGCCAACCTTGGCAAAACATTTGTAGGGGTGCTTTAAAATCGGTAATTTTGTTTCAAATATGATAATAGTTTTTAGTTTAGAGCTTAAAATATAACTTATTCTACATGTACTTACCGAAAGTAAGGCACTCCGGCTGTAAAATTGCTTTTTTGGGCATTATTCTTGCAACTTTTAAATATACATTGCGGCATTGTGAAACGTGTTTATATTGGCTGTGTTTCAAGTCAACTAAATGAAATACGAGCTCACGTCTCCAGTGCGCTGTTATTTACATAGGCTGCACTAAAAATATCGGGAATGGAATATTTCCACCGTTCCTGTCATATTAAAATCTTTTTAATTGAAAAGTCCTTGGTTTTAAAAATCGAATACCATTTATTTATTTAAAAAAAGATTCTCGGTCTTGTTACAAGGTCACTTGTCACATTTGTCAAACTTGTTTAGTAGTTGAGAAAATGGAATTGACTCGAGAAAATTCAAGAGCGATGAATTATTATGACTTTCGAAGTGGTTTAACACAAAACCAGTGTGTTGACCGGATGATTTCTGCATTTGGTGATGAAGCCCCATCCAAAACCACAATTTATCGCTGGTTTGCTGAATTTCAACGTGGACGTGTCAAGCTCAGTGATGATCCCCGTCAAGGTCGTCCAAAAACTGCAATCACCCAAGAAAACGTTGATGCTGTGCGTAAGCTGATTGAGGAAGATCGACATGTGACATACCGCGAAATTCAGGCAACTTTAGACATTGGCATGAGTCAAGTACAAATAATCTTGCATGAACAATTAGGTGTAAAAAAGTTGTTTTCCCGATGGATGCCGCATTCGCTATGTGAAGAGCAAAAAGCGGCTCGCGTTACTTGGTGCGTCAGAACTCTCGAAAGATTCCACGCAGGATTCTCAAATACTGTATACAACATCGTATCAGGTGACGAATTCTGGATATACGCGTACGAACCCGAAACAAAAAACCAGTCACGAGTTTGGGTGTTCGAAAATGAGTTAAAGTCAACAAAAATTGTTCGTTCACGGAGTGTTGCAAAAAAAATGGTGGCCACGTTTGTCTCCAAAACCGGCCTTGTTACGGCTATTCCTACGGGACAAAAAACTGTTAATGCAGAATGGTATGCTAGCATTTGTTTGCCACAGGTCGTTTTTGAACTCCGTAAAGAGAACTGCAACCGCCGCATCATCCTCCATCACGACAATGCGAGTTCTCACACCGCACACAGAAGAAAATAATTTTTAGAGCAAGAAAACATAGAGATATTAGACCATCCGCCGTACAGCCCCGACTTAAGCCCTAATGATTTCTATACTTTCCCTAAAATAAAGAATAAATTGCGTGGACAGAGACTCATCACCTGAAGAAGCTGTGGACGCCTACAAAACGGCCATTTTGGAGACCCCAACTTCCGAATGGAATGGTTGCTTCAATGATTGGTTCCATCGTATGGAAAAATGTGTCAAATTTCGCGGAGAATACTTCGAAAAGCAATAAATACATTTTTAAATAGTAATGTTGTGTCACTTCCTTGATTACCGAAATTGTCAGTGCCGCCCTCGTATTTTTTGCGCCGACCCGATATCTAATTGGAATTGTTGATCGAAGTGTAGAATACTAAAAGGCTAGTTACTTTGTGCCAGTATTCGAGATTGCTCTAACGTAATTGACAGATATAATTTGGCCTCTCTCGTCTTGCCTCTCGCTCTGGTCTGGGATCGTATGAGGCAATGTATTGGAAAGGCCTATGTTTTTGATAGGCTGTAATGAATGAATGAAAATTGGGGTCAAGATATACAAGATCAAAGATCGCAATTATCATTAATTCATTCATTGCAGATGAAGTCATTTGTCACAGTTGCCACACCTGCAGGTGGGTTGACAACTTCAACATTCTGCTGCCCATCTGCAGTTTTTTTTTTCTTTTGAAATAAATTATAACATATTTATGATAAATTATATGGCTGCAATAATAATGATTAATAACCACAATATTTTAGATAATTAACAAATATTTATTGATACGTAAAGGATATTTTGAATTTTTTTATAAATATAAATATGCATTCACATTTTAGGGAACAACTTATTCGTCGTGAAAAGAAGAACCTAAAGCCCTTGGAAGATGCAGAACTCAAAGAGGAACAGACTAAGGAAACCAAAACTGTCCAGTCCGAGCTCTATTGCGATATTTGCAAGGTAAGAAGTGATGCGAAGTGCTCAATCGCCCTTTTTCGTTTCATATGCAGGTGATTCATAAATACTTACTTTTTGTTTTTAATTGGTTAATGTATTTATGAATATTTTTTTACAGACTTCTGTAACTTGCACTGAACAAATGACCATGCATTTGAATGGTAAAAGACATTTGACAAAAGAAAAGCAGCATATTCTTAAAATGATGAAAGGCGATACCAATGATGGTAACTTTTGTTCTTAATTTTTTGAAATATTTTTTTATTTCAACTTATAAAATACTTATTTGTTTTGTAGATAAGAACAAAACTAAAGCAGGTGGTGAGGAAGGTACGTTTTTTTAGATTATTTTTAGATTGCTTTTATATCTAGTACAAATGCGGCTTTCATTATTATTGTAAACACATTTTCAGATTATGAAAATGAAGAGGAAGAAGATGAAGGCGAAACTGGTAAAAAAGGAGACGGGGAAAATGCGGGTGAAGAAGCAGACGAGGTAGAGGCAGATGAAGGTGGAGAAGCAGAAGCAGAAGAAGGCGCTGGAGGTGGTGGAGGTGAAGATGATTTCGATTGGGGAAATGGTAGTGGCACTTGGGATGAACCGGAAACTATTCAGTGGTAATTCAAATATTTATTTAATAAGTAAGACGTCTCAATAAAATGAAATAAAACTATAATTAATTTAATTTATTTTCAGATCAATTCATGAGTAGAAGAATGCACATTGCTGCCTTGAATCATAATTGGCGGGAGTTGTAGTCTAGAACTTGTCTATTTAGTAGAACAGACTTCATGTCTTTTTATCTATACTAAAATATTATTAATAACTTACATGTTTTATTCCATTAAAATATACGTGTATTCGTGTATGTAAATTTCTTTTATTTTGATTTAACTGAACCTATAAATTAATAGTGTATTTTCGATATGCCTCAGTGACAGGAACTGCAACGTGCAGCTACGATTGACCATGTACGCATGATCATCTACAGATTCGCTTGCCATGCAACAGCTCGGTATTTTTTTAATACGCCGTCAATAATGTACCCCGACCATAATGCCTCTACACTACTCGCGAAGTAGATCGAAGTTGAACGAGGCGAATAGTGTATGGTACATCCAACTAGCAGCGATACGAAAGGTCATTTACCTTAAAAACGACTGTGGAGTTGAAAATCTATAATCTATCTCTTTTCATCTCGTGTATTTGTCGTACATAGACTGCACTAAAAGTATCGGGAATGGAATATTTCCACTGTTCCTGTCATATTAAAATCTTTTTAATTGAAAAGTCATTGGTTTTAAAAATCGAATACCATTTATTTATTTAAAAAAAGATTCTCGGTCTTGTCACAAGGTTTTGTCAAACTTGTTTAATCGTTGAGAAAATGGAATTGACTCGAGAAAATTCAAGAGCGATGATTTATTATGACTTTCGAAGTGGTTTAACACAAAAACAGTGTGTTGACCGGATGATTTCTGCATTTGGTGATGAAGCCCCATCCAAAACCACAATTTATCGCTGGTTTGCTGAATTTCAACGTGGACGTGTCAAGCTCAGTGATGATCCCCTTCAAGGTCGTCCAAAAACTGCAGTCACCCAAGAAAACGTTGATGCTGTGCGTAAGCTGATTGAGGAAGATCGACATGTGACATACCGCGAAATTCAGGCAACTTTAGACATTGGCATGAGTCAAATACAAATAATCTTGCATGAACAATTAGGTGTAAAAAAGTTGTTTTCCCGATGGATACCGCATTCGCTCTGTGAAGAGCAAAAAGCGGCTCGCGTTACTTGGTGCGTCAGAACTATCGAAAGATTCCACGCAGGATCCTCAAATGCTGTATACAACATCGTATCAGGTGACGAATCCTGGATATAGGCGTACGAACCCGAAACAAAAAACCAGTCACGAGTTTGGGTGTTCGAAAATGAGTTAAAGCCAACAAAAATTGTTCGTTCACGGAGTGTTGCAAAAAAAATGGTGGTGGCCACGTTTGTCTCCAAAACCGACCATGTTACGACTATTCCTCTTGAGGGACAAAAAACGGTTAATGCAGAATGGTATGCTAGCATTTGTTTGCCACACGTCGTTTCTGAACTCCGTAAAGAGAACTGCAACCGCCGCATCATCCTCCATCACGACAATGCGAGTTCTCACACCGCACATAGAACAAAAGAGTTTTTAGAGCAAGAAAACATAGAATTATTAGACCATCCGCCGTACAGCCCCGACCTAAGCCCTAATGATTTCTATCATCATCATCATCATAATGATTTCTATACTTTCCCTAAAATAAAGAATAAATCGCGTGAACAGAGATTTTCATCACCTGAAGAAGCTGTGGACGCCTACAAAACGGCCATTTTGGAGACCCCAACTTCCGAATGGAATGGTTGCTTCAATGATTGGTTCCATCGTATGGAAAAATGTGTCAAATTTCGCGGAGAATACTTCGAAAAGCAATAAATACATTTTTAAATAGTAATGTTGTGTCACTTCCTTGATTACCGAAATTTTCAGTGCAGCCCTCGTAATGTCTCGTTTTCCCGGCATAACATGTCACGGTTAAGAAGTTGTTATTTTTTGTTGTTTACTTAATTAAGTGAAGTATGTATATCATTTTAATGTAATTTTAGTTGACTAGTTTTACTGTAAATGAAAAAAAATATGGTTATTAATACCTACAAATATGTTAAAGAAACTTGGCCTAAGACTTCCCCCTTATCATTGTGAATTAAACCCCATTAAGTTGATTTGAGCTGATGTAAAAGGGCACGTAGTTAGAAACAATACTACGTTTAAATTTGAAAGAGTGGCAATGAGAAGTAAGTGACGGTATGGCGAAAGTCACGCTTGATCAGTGGAAGAAATGTGTGGAGCATGTTCAAAATGAAGAAGATAAGTTTTTCTAACGTGATTTTATTGTAGATGACGTAGCGGATAAATTTATTATTCGTGTTACAAACTCTGATTCTGACTCTACAGACTCGGAAGAATCGGCGTCAGACTGAAAAAATGATTTCCTCAAAAATTATTTTTATCCTCATTTCCATTAACATAACATATCATCAGTCAGTGGCGGATTAAAGGAGGGGCTATAGCACCGGGCCCCACCTTGGGAGGGGGCCCCGCGGTCTCGTATCAAAAATAATTTTTTTAAACCTGTTTCAAAGAATTTTGAATAAAAGTAAAATGTTTTCCAAAGAAAATAAGTTAACCAAAATTACCTACGATTTTTAATTTGCAATCGGTTAACTATTTGTTGGCCAACGATGGGTGTAAATCTGTGATGAAATAACGAAATAAGTGGTATTATTAGCGAATGGGTTGGGAAAAACTGCGGCTAACGCTGCAGCAGTTGGTCACGGTGGCGAATGGTTGGGGGAAATTTCTACCAGAGAATGTTAATGTTTATCGCGCAATAATTTGAGTTATTCATTCATGCCAAAGGTTGTGATTTTCTTTTTTACTTATATAATTTAAATAAATTTATATGAAAGATTATTTAATAACAATTCTAAAGAAAACAAAAAGAGAAAAATTAAATCTGTTGATACTTACATATAAATAACTTTGAAAATGCGGTTAAAAAGAAAACTATAAAAATATCGTATCAATGTTGTAAAGAGGACCTCACCAGATCGCCAGTAAACGAGGCAGGGACAATAAAGGGTTAGATAGTGCAATGACAGAGAGATATCTCTGTGTGCCTAGTGCGAGATGTTATTTTTACGCACTCGATATCGAGAAAGTTAACTACAATTTTTATGGAATAAAATCAGCGCCAATTAGTGGCAAAAAAGTGCTCACAAAGGCAGTGGTACAGTCTTTTATTTATCTAAAACTATAAACGAAGAATTTATAGAGTTAATGGCTGCAAAAGTATTTAATACTTTTGCAGCCATTAACTATGCAATAACGTATTATTCATGAAATACACAGTGCAAAATATTGGGGACTCGTCGAGATTCTACCCCAGATATATCTCACATCGATCAGTTGTCAGTCATTTTCCGATACTACTTAGATGGTCACGTTTATGAACGTTTTTTCTGCTTTTTACAAATGAAAAGTCATAAAGGTAGGTCGCTTAGTAATGACGTATTAGATTTACTACAGGAGCACGGTATCGACATTAAAAGTTGCAGAGCTCAGACCTATGACAACGCTTCCAATATGTCCGGTAAATATATTGACTTCAAGCTTGTATTAGAGAAAAAAATGAATTAGCATTTTACGTGCCTTGCGCTGGCCATTCTCTATATGTCTTGATGCTATAAATTTCTTCGGAATTTTACAGCAGCTATATGCATTTTTTAGTGCATCAACACATAGGTGGGACATTTTAATCACTGAGAATTCTAAAACAACGAGCTTATCGAAAACGAGATAGTCATGTCGCGGAGATGCCACAAAAGTTTTAGTAAAGAGTCAAGAGTCATGGAGGTATTTGTAGGGCTCTAGAAATTTTAGCGAATGACGAAGAACAAAAACGCGAAACTCTGAAAGAAGCTGAAGCTTTATTGAAACATATAAAAAAAACTTGAAAATGTTTTTATGGCGATTCTATGGAATAATGTTTTAAGCCGCTTTAACGCGACTAGTCAATACCTTCAAAAAGTTGATACAGATTTAATTTCTGCAAATAACATGCTATTTTCATTAGTGGATTTTGTGGCAGATTTGCGAGATACATTTTCTGACATTGAAAATCAAGCCAAACAACTAAGTAATTTTGTGGATCAAGAATATTCTGATGCAAACAAACGAAAGGTCACGAATGCTAACCGACAAAGAATCACAAGCTAGTAGCTTAAGCCCGGCTGATAAATTCCGAGTAAATACATTTTATGTGATTATAGACAAATTAGTTGCCGAGTTGCAGAAACTGAGTGAAGCATACGATCGCATCATTCAACTATTTGGCTTCCTCACACAATTATTATTTATAGAGACAGATGTATTAGAAAAAAAAATGCAAATCTCGTAAAGGTTTACTCTGACAATTATGAAAAAAAATTATCAGTTGAATTGAAACAATTTATACCATGTTTAAAACAGCAGCCTAAGGGCTTTTTTTCCAATCTTACAGGAAAAAACACAAGTGCAAATGATGAAATCTTGTGTCCCTTAAAAGATTTAAATTGGCTTGTAGATTTAGACATGATACAAGTTTTTCCGTATACCTATATTGCTTGCAGAATACTACTTACACTTCCAATCGCAAATTGCGAATCAGAAAGATCATTTTCAGTTTTAAAAAGAATAAAAAACATGTATCGATCAACGATGTCAGACGACAGACTATCATCTATTGAAGTTGACTTGAATTTCAATTGACTTCGATCACTTAATTCATGATTTTGTTAGACCAAAACCAAGAAAAACAATTTTCAATCGAATTTTAAAATAATTGTTTGTACTTCATTGTATCTATAAATAATAGTTTATAATAAATTAATAAATGATTTTTTTTTTATATTTGATAAATAGCCTTTTTCGCTGTCCTTAAGTGGGCCCGTTCTCAATTTTAGCCCCGGGCCCCATAAAGTTTAAATCCGCCCCTGTCATCAGTTCTATATCCCCTAAGGGGTAGGCAGAGATATTAACACCCACATTTTGTATCATATATTTAAGTCACTATGTAACAGGGGGCAAGCCTGTTACCATACACCGGGCACAAATCTGTTAGGCAAGCGATATTCAGAAACATTATTATTATTCTCGTTATTTAATTTAAATCTACATTATACAATACAGTAGAAACTCGATTATCCGGCCCTCAGTTATACGGATTCGCCATTATCCGGACTATCAACCGCGACCAATTAAATAATTAAGTCATATTGAGCCAAGTTACAA